TCAACACATCTGCCTGGATGTTTCAAGTATACCTAGTAAGACCTTGATTAGCTTGTTCAGGTGTGTTTGATTAGGGTTGGAGCTAAAATCTGCAGGACACCGGCCCTCCAGGAACAAGTTTGGTGACCACTGCTTTAGGGCAACACGGTGGCGCAGTGGGTTGCGATCTCTCCTCGCAGCAAGAAGGTCACTGGTTCGAGCCCCGGCTGGGTCGGTTGGCATTTCTGTGTGGAGTTTGCATGTTCTCCCCGTGTTCCCCCACAGTTCAGACGCGTGTGCTATAGGTGAATTGGGTAAACTAAATTGTCCTTAGCGTATGTCTTTGAATGGGATTGTATGGATGTTTCCCAGTGCTGGGTTGCAGCTGGAGGAGCATCCGCTGCATGAACATATGTTGGATAAGTTGGCGGTTCATTCCGCTGTGTGTGGCGACCCCAAAGGGACTAAAGCCTGGTTTATACTTCTGCGTCAAGTGACCGGCGTAACCCACGGCACATGCAACGCGCATGTAGCTGTGCAGTTATACTTCTGCGCGCTGTCTTTGTTGGTCTGCATTAACACTTCCGAAACGCTAGTTGGCAGTGAGGTGTAAATGTTCCTCTGTGTCGAGTTTCTTTGCTGCTGTTTTGCTTTTCCTGAACACTTCCGGGATGTACAAGTGGCTCAAACTCACTCATTTTGAGGCAGGAACCGGCGGACGTGCAACAACTATAACCATGAAGTAAACACAAAACAAATCTTTCCATCCGGAGCTCCTTCACGGGACTCCACACTTGTAAACAAACTCGCACCATTCACGCGGCTCTCGGTCCCGCCCAGACTCGTCAGCGCTACCAAGCCGACCAATCACAGAGCTTGCACTACACGTTGCGACGTGTAGTTACATTTTTTGAGAGGTGCACGTCAGTGATGCCGACGGCCACGGCAAAGGGCTATGCGTCAGCGCCGTAGCATACGCCGGCGTTTGACGCAGAAGTAGAAATCAGCCTTAAGCCTGATTTATACTTCTGCGTCAGGTGACCGGCGTAACCCACGGCGCAGGCAACGTGCGTGGCTGTGCATTTATACTTCTGCGCGCTGTCTCTGTCGGTCTGCATTAACACTTCGAAACGCTAGTTGGCAGTGAGGTGTAAATGTTCCTCTGTGTCAAGTTTCTTCGCTACTTTTTTGCACTTCCTGAACACTTCCTGAATGTACAAGTGGCTCAAACTCGCTCATTTTGAGGCAGGAACCGGCGGACGTGCAACAACTTTAACTATGAGGTAAACACAAAACAAAACTTTCCATCCGGAGCTCCTTCACGTTACTCCACACTTGTAAACAATCGCTCGCGCGGCTTCGCGCGGCCGCGGCTCTCGGTCCCGCCCAGACTCGTCAGCGCTACCAAGCCGACCAATCACAGAGCTCACGCTACGCGTCGTTGCAACGTGTAGATACATTTTTTTAGAGGTGCACGTCAGCGACGGCGATGGCCACGGCGAAGGGCTATGCGTCAGCGCCGTAGCATACGCCGGTGTTTGACGCAGAAGTATAAATCAGCCTTTAAGCCGAAAAGAAAATGAATGAATGAATGTTACAGTTTAAAAGTTAACTGTAGTTAGGCTTATGCACATTGAATTATTCGTTAACAAAGCGGTCTACTTTTTCTTGTACACTTTACTATAGTATGGTTCAAAAACACTATAGTGTTTACCATACTATTATTTATATGAAGGTGCTTTTCAATTAAAACAATTTTGGATTCCAAATACTGGTCAGACCAGTAACCACTGCAACCACTGTTTCAGAGCACACTAGCATATAGATATATTTAAAACTACTATATACTAATACTAACATCTAAAAAAATTTCTTTAATTTCATGGCACCTTTAAAAAGATAACTAAATGTGTTGGTAATGTAAAAATATGTGTGTAATGTTATTTTTGCGGCTGTTTTTTTAAGATTAAGATTTGCTTAAGATTGTAATATAGTACTTTTATAACGTTCACAAGCCATAAAGACCCACTCTGCGTTTATCGGGCACGCGCGCGCGCCCACCAAGCGCCGTCCACGCCCGGTTCTGGAGGGCGGGTGTAGTAACGTCAGCGCGCAGGGGGGGCAGGCTGTGGATTCTGGGAGCACAAACACACACATCAGCCATTTTTCAGTTTGCTGTGCTCATCCTTTCACTTCAACGCGAACATCCTCACAACGCAGAGCTGAAAGGGACGAGAAAAATGGACGAAGCGAAAGCGGGTCAGCAAACGCACGAGCGGCGGTTTTGCTAATAACAACAAACAAACGAACGCACCAAACACTCGATGGGACTCACACCGTTTACCTGCTAAATCGCCTTTGGGACCGAATCTGGACATCTCTGAATCCATTAAACCACATTAGAAGTTTGAACCCCATCCATAAAGCAGCTTATAAAAGGTATGCTCGTTTTTGTCATTGATTAGCGGCGATGCTAACCTGCAGTCAGTTTGAATGGAGCAAAGTTTAGCCCCCGGTCTGCTAAAAACAATAGCTGTTTGTTGTAATTGAATTGTGCTTAATGTTTAGCGTAAACGAGTATCTGTTACACTACACTTTGTTTAGACTGTTTTAAAGAGTTTTTGTTATACATTCGGTCGTTTATAATCGCCGTCATCCAGACAGTGATGATGCAGTGAATGTTGAATTAAACATTCATTTAGTTAAATAACGTCGCATGAGGATGTTCTGCATTTTGAGTGAGCTAAATTCACTGTATGTGTATGTTTATATTTTGGGTGTTTGTTAATGAGAGCAGGGCCTGCGTTTGTTTGCTGTGCTGGATGAGGGATGTTGTGGTGATGTTGCGGGTCACCTTGATGGATTTTTCCAGATTCCTCCTGAGTTTATCGGGCTGCTTTTAATAACTTTAGGGTGTAAATTGACCACGTGAGGCGTATGTTTGTGTTTGTGAGGTGGTCTGCTGTATTTTTGTGCTGGTGGTCTCGTGGTTTGGGGTGATTGTCTCCGCTGGTGCTGCATTGCAGTCAATAGGCGTGTTGACTGACGAAGAGCGCCTCTGCTGGACGCAGGTGGAAGTGCAGGTCAAATAAACTCATGACGACGACGGTGATGATGAAGTTGGTTTTATATTCACACATTATAACTTTTCCTTTTTTATAATTTCAGAAAACAATGATTTGCCAATTCTAAATAGTTAAATCATATTAGCAGTCAATGACTAGCAAAGTACAGCATTGTTTAAAGTCAAACAAACAGTGCTAATGCTGTTTTAAAGTCATACTTGCATGTGGTTTCATACTGAATATTCAAAGTACCATGGTAAACAATACAGGGAGTGTGTCTGAAGTTGTCACTGAATGAATGTGTGAATATAAAACCAACTTTACCTCAATTGATGATGTTAGCAATGTCATCATGTTACTGCAGTCATTTGTACATTGATTATATTGTTTTATCTTTATTTTATTAGCAAAATTTCATATACACAAACAGAAGTTTTAGTATTAGTAGTTTTAGTATTTATTTAGATTATTTTACTGTGAAATTGTTGAAAGCAAAAAATCTGAGATCATTATACTATTTATACTTATTATATTTTTTATTAACTGGTAATTCTTAAAATCATTGAATGTAAAGATTCTGAATATTTATACTTTGTGGATTTAAAAATATATATTTTTACAATTTTTATATTAGGTTTTTATGTTCACAATTTATATTGAGTTGTTGTATGTATGTTTCTGGTGGTTTGTGCAACAAAAACAAAGTGGAAAATATTGTATACATAAGTATTATATAGTTATATACATAGCCTTAACCCTTGTTGTCTCTGTTGGGGGTGTTTTCATCCACTCCAGGGTGACTTTGAGGCTTAATATTGCCACAACTTTTCAGCAAATGCAATGGCTTTTGGTGATGAATCTTATTTTGACACACATCTACTGTAAAAATGACACATTTTACCTCTTTTCAACAAGGAAAACAAGCATCAAGAAAGCATAAGGTGTCATGGCTTGCAATCAAAAAAATTGTTATAATGGAAGACAATAAAACAAAAACAGCCACCAAATAACAAAAGGGTTGTCAATTTGAACAATGCCCAAGGGTTAATTAGTATTTAGTATAATACACATACATGCATTACTGTATATAATTTTTTTTTAGCTTTCTTGAAATTATTTTTCAGATATCTTCTAACGAGTGATGCTTAACATAGAAATAATGTTTTAACATAATATTTTTTTAATAATAACTTTATGATGGCGATCTAGGATATTTTGCTAGTTATTTTGCAAGATACTTCGGAAAAATTCAAATGTTTTAGGGCGTAAAAATATTGATTTTAGCGGTTGTTACATTTTTATTTTTTGCTTTTTTTCCCAATTCCTGCAAAATAAAACAAATAAGACTTTACCCAGGAGACAAACATAATAATAATAATAACAATAATAATAAAAAAGGTCTTGCTTTGATTAAACATTACTTTTACAAATATTTAACAAATAATTATTTATTTTATTTATACAGGGACAATGTACAACATGACAAGCTAATTTACATCTTAATCACTTAATTAAAGTTTTACAGGCTAATCATTTTGTTGTTAAGACCTCATCTGTATGTTTTTGTTTATCTATGTGCACGGATGAACCGATATCATTTTTTTTTTACAAGCCGATACGAGTATGAATATTTAAATTTGTGTACTTGCTGAAACAGAGTACCGATTCTGATACTTGGATTTTGTTTTAATGAAAGTGCAATTATTTAAAAGGAGGTTTTATTTTTTGCCTGTAGCAAGGATGAACACAAAAATCTTTAACAAAAGGCAATTCCAAGCCAAAAATATACACACATTGTAAGATAACTTATCGATTACCGATTAAGCATGGATGTTTATAGGATAAGTTATCCTTGTGCTGACGTGTGTCAGCGATTTCACACATTACATAATCAAGTGTGTGCAGTTTACGTTACCTTATAGAGTCACTCTCTTGACATTGCATATTTGGGATGCATAAAACACTGTTATGTGCAGTTCTTCGCTTTATTCGCAAGTCCTGTCGTTAATCCGTTGGCCAGGTAATTGGGTGGTTCGCGTGTGGATAAGATCAACAGTTGGTTATGCAAACTTTAACTGCTTTCTCTAAAATATTTAGTTGTTTTAAGTGGTTTCATCTTGACAGACTGCCCTCAGTGTGCCCACATTGTGCGTGTGTGAGAGAGACTTGGCGCATCTCTCCATAGAACTCCATAAAAAAAATCTTAATCTGTTTTGCAAGGGCCTATCTAAAGGGTTAATGATGCCAACTGGCGATCAACAATAAAAATGAAAAGTTTTAACTTATCCCATCAGGGAAAAGCACAAACTATCAAGAATGCATGATTATATTGTGTCAAGGCTTTGCAATTTAAAATGTGCTTATAATGGAAGTCAATGAGGCAAAAACAGCCCCCAACATAACGAAAGGTGGAGTCAATTTGACCAGTTCACCTCAAAATGAAAATACAGTCATTTAATCATCCTCCCATTGTTTCAAACCTGTTTAAGTTTTTTTTTTTATTCCACTGAGCACAAAAGTAGTTCATTTTTATAGTGATATGTGCAAGATGGCGTGATGTTGATGGGTTTTTGTATATGTTGTTTTTTTTCCAGCAGGTGTGTGTGTGTGTGTCAGTGGGTGATGTCCACCATGGTTTACCCTCGTGACGAGGCTCTGGAGCGGCTGACGCAGGATGATATCGTGCTCAACACTAAAGCGGTGATGCAGGGTTTGGAGACGCTGCGAGGGGAACACGCTCAACTCCTCAACACCATCCTGGACTGCAGTCAACCAGCCGGAGCGCAGGAGAAATCCAGACTGCTGCGCAAGAGCCTGGAGGACATCGAGCTAGGCCTGGGGGAAGCACAGGTGAAACACACACGCCTAGAGCTCTCCCAATTATGATACTTGGCTGATGATTAACTCAGTATTGTGGTTATGCAATGATTTGTCTATTTTGGGACCCATGCATAAATCAAATAAACATGCATACATACAGCTGGAGTCAGAATTATCCAGTTATCATGTATATGTAATGGGAATATGTGTGTGTTGGTCAGGTGATCATCGCTCTGTCGGGTCATCTGAGCGCTGTGGAGTCAGAGAAGCAGAAGCTGCGTGCTCAGGTGCGTCGTCTCTGTCAGGAGAACCAGTGGCTGCGGGACGAGCTGGCGAATACCCAACACAAGCTGCAGAAGAGCGAGCAGAGCGTCGCACAGCTGGAGGAGGAGAAGAAGCATCTGGAGTTCATGAACCAGATCCGCAAGCTGGACGAGGACACATCGCCCTCTGAGGAGAAGGCTGGGGAGAAGGAGAAGGACAATCTGGATGACCTGTTCCCCAACGATGACGACCAGGGGCCAGGTGAGGATTGAGACACTGATTATAGCTGTGTTATGATGCTGTTTCTGTTAGGTTAATTAGGCAAGTCATGGTATAATGATGGTTTGTTTTGTAGACAATTATAAATATAGCTTACAGGGCTCGAAATTAACTTTTTTACTTGGTAGCACCGGTGCTCCCAACTTAAAACTTTAGGAGCACCAGAAAAAATTTAGGAGCACCCACCAAAAATGATTGAGCACCGCTGCAATTTGTATTTTAAGGGATTTATTGTATTTTAAAACAACATCAATAAGGACTAACAAAAACCAGAAACAACTATCTAACTAATGCTGAGATGACATTGATATTTGTGTGCAACAATTCCAAAATGAATGTCGAATAATTATAAAATATTAATGATGATGAAAATGACAATAATAGTAACAATGAATTACATTTGTCATCATCATGCTGCCTTGAATGTGCATGAATGCAAGTTATCAGCTATAAAAAGTCTGTTACTTTATGAAAAATAAATGTATAGTTTGCATCAAACAAAAATGAAGCATTGCAGTAAGAAATATTTCTTTTGTACAGCTGTTTATATATGCATGTCAGTTTAATAAATAATATTTCTGCTACAAAACAAACAAAAGATTTTAACAAATAATTAAATTCAAGGCTGAAAGCTGCAAAACAGTCATCAGTAACTAAATAAAAAAATATATATACACCTCAAGAAAGAATAGACAAAAGAAATTAAGTCTCACTTCTATCACTCTTTAAAAAGTTTTGGTTTCAGTTTGTGTCAATTTAAATGTTCAGTCTGAGCTGATTTTCATTTTTCTGTGTTAGTGGAAAAGCAGGCGAGTCAGCCGATGCAATTAATGAGCAGGTTGAACAGGATTCTTGCTAATACCACCGGCGCAAAACCGCTGTTTGTTATGAGCCGCAGTTTCAGTGTAAACTTGGTAAAGGCGAGCTTCTTTGGCGATGATATGTACAGTATTAGATTTGACTTTTAGCGGACATTTGCGCTGAACACGCAGTGAATGCAACGCATCGAGATTCGGGCGCCTTCTCCATGAAGCACGTACTCGATTGATCTCAGCTGGCGGATCAATATCCACCACATGTGATCATCGCTCTCATATGCGCCTCAACTTTAGGTAGGGTTTGCAAACCTGTGTGCTTTAAGTTTTCACTCTTCAGCTGTTTGCATTTCTCGTGGTCATAAAAGCTCCTTCCCTGTCATCTGACAGCGGAATACTTTGAGTGATTGACGGCTTATATGAACCAATATAGCGGCTGGGAAGAGCGATTCAGCACGTTTTTAGAAAATAAGAAAACAGGTCGCACTACAACCATTATCTGCAGGCGCACTAATGCTCCCATATATACAATGAGGTCGCATAGATTAATTTTTGGGCGCATATGCGACCAAAATGGTCGCAATTTCGAGCCCTGGCTTATAATGACTTTAAAATGTTATTTAAAAAATTAAAAGTTGCTTTAATTCTAGCCGAAATAAGACTTTCTCCAGAAGAAAAAAATATTATAGGAAATACTGTGAAAAATTCCTGCTCTGTTAAACATCATTTGGAAAACATCACATGAGGGCGAATCATTTTGACTTCAACTGTACATCCAACTGAAAGAAAAACAGTGTAGGACCACTTGAGTGGGAGGAAATGGAAACTGTTCCTTTAATAGCATGTGTAAATGGATGCTTTTTTGTCAGTCCGAACAACACAATATAGGTGTAAATGAGGTCTAAAATGTTTGGGCTTGTTAATTTTCGCTCACTTCCTCAACACCTTTAATGAAAGAGGATTTGTAAATCTGAAGACTCGTGCATGTTTATTGCTCATTTATAGCGTTTTTGGAGGTGCTTTTGCAACATTAATGTCCAAGCAATTTGTTCACTAGCGATGAGCAGAGTTAATGTGCATAATCGGATTTTTGATGTTTATTGAAAAACAGAAATAAGGTGGGGCTACACTAATTTACACTTCTGACACTCGCAGTAGTCACCCTCATTCTTTTTCCTTGTGCATTCATCACGTAATATTCCCCCTCTTCTGTTTATTCTCCTCTAATAGTGCACACAAATGTGTGCAGGAAAAGATTACAAGCTATGAAAGAAAATTAAGTGACTCGCTTTCAGATCTGTAATTCATGTGTGCTTATGGCCCGTTTCCACTGAGTGGTACGGTACGGTTTGGTTCGGTACGCTTTTATGGCCATTTCCACTGTCAAAAGGCGTACCGTACCACTCTTTTCGGCACCCTTTCGAAAGGGTACCAAAACACGAGAAAGGGTACCAAAAGGCGGAGCTAGACGTGCAGCTGAATGCTATTGGTTTACAGAGATACGTCATTCACTTGCGCAAAAAGGCAGAATGAAAACAATAGAGCCGCCATGTTTAAAATACACAGCAGAGAAGATTACAGCGTAATAAAATATACATATAATAACGAGTCATGGTCGACCCCGGCTTAAACAAACCTTGTCGTCGTCTTGATGAACAGCCACAAAGCTAAGAAAAAAAGGAGATTTTACCCTGTGACCCGTAGTTTTTTACGAGCCAGTCTGAAGAGCGAGCGGTTTAGCTTTCTTGCGTGCGCTTGCCGCATGTCTATATCTGACATAAAAAAAAACTTCTCGAGTTGATGATAATAAAGTGCGCTTGATTATTGACGTGCTTTTGAAACCTGATCCTGTCAGACACTAACAAACGCGAGAGTGAAGAGCAAAAAAACAAAGGAGAAGCCAGAAAAAAAGAAGCACATTATTTTTTCAGCAAGCGTGAACAAACTGCCATGTTTAACTATTATCATCACCTTTTGGACTATTATGAACTGGGAATGATGGAATTGCTCTCTAACAGAGGCTACATGTGCTGCTGAAGATTACAGACACAGATGAGAGGTCTGCTCTGACTGTGGGCTGTATGTTCATTTTGTTTTTGAACCTAAATAAGAACTAAATGTCTGCTGTGTGTATATTTTCTGTAATTGGTAACATATCGGAGACTGTTAGGGCCTGTATTTGTTCATACATGTTCATTTATTTATTAATTTTCTATAATTGCAGACGTTACAGTAGGCTATTTCGCTAGTCATTGATCTGCAGTTCTCAAGTCATGTTCATAGAAAAGTTAGTAACAAACATTTACACAGAAGTATTTATGTGTATAAAGCATCTGTTTTGTGAGAAGAGCTTCTCATATGATTTGTGAGCGACCCGTACAGACGTAAACATTCTGTCATACACCACGCCCACCAAAAGGGTATCCTTGGTAGTGGAAATGCAAGCCTAATAAAGGTGATCCGTACCGAACCGTACTGTACCAGTCAGCTGAAACGAGCCATTAGACTGTTTTGTGCTTGAGTGCTACCAAGTGGTGTTTTACTGTAACTTCAGAAGCTTAATGCTCGTGAACAAAAGCATCAATGAACTAGATGAGCCTGAGGTCAAACTAGATGAGCCTGAGGTGCTTTTTTAAAAACAACGGGACTAGTTCAATAATAATTGCATATGTTTTTCTTAATTATACTCACATTTAAACTTTGTCATCTAATTCACAACACTTGCATATGCACATGAAGTTTGTTCTTAAGTTTCCGCTTGCACGGAATGGCTGCGTTCGAAATCACATACCTGTATATTACATAGAACGGTAAAAATAGTATGCATCCCAAGTAGTATGTCTGAAATCATAGAAGTCAAAAAACAGTATGCGAGAATTACCCGGATAACCCACTACTTCTGGTGAGCTTCTGATGTGCACATCAGATGCACGCTATGCTATCCCATGATGCCCTGCAAGAAAATTAATAAATGGCAGTGAAGCAACGCAACTAACGAGAGTAGGTCACATGATCAGGACAAAATGGCAAATGTAGTACGTCCGAATTCCATTCATACTGTTCACATTCATACTATATAGAACGCACTTTTCTAACAGTCGAGAAGTAAATTTAAATTAAAGTGCAGTACTTGCTGAGTAGTAGGTGATTTCGGAGACAGCCAACGAGTTTTTCCTCTTCAATATGCTACTTTTCTATTGTTTTTTTTTTTTCAATATAAACACTTGCTTGATGGACGTGTTTGACCGTTACACTCTCTCGCATCTTTTGAAGTGCCGTACACGTGAACGCAGCTGTTTTTTAAACGCTGTGTCAAGTTGAAAGATTTTCAACATTCACATGCAGCGCTGCTCATTACTGTCAGTTCCACAGCAGTGGACCAATTAGAAGAGCTCGGAGGCGGAGCAGCTGTTGCCAGCTTTGCTTATAGTGAAAAGTTGGCATGACAACTGTTTTATTTACCATTATATCATGACGAAGGAGGCGCTCAGTGTGGCTTTGTCCGTATATCCTGGGTTATATGATGTATCTTCATGTGCTTAACATATTGTTTTCCTATTTCTCATAGGTCCGCTATTGTTATTCTTATGTCATGTTCATAATGTCGCATCCGGTAGACATCGCAATGCACTTTTTAAAAAACCTATTTCTGAGCACCGCGTCAAGCGAAACAAAGATGCATTCTGTGTGAATGAACCCTAACTATCAAGATAACGATAAAAATATAGCTCTAATTCTAATGCTAAATGATTATTGTGTTCTTGACTATTATTATTTTGTACAATTACCAATTTTAGTATGAAAGTTTTTGGTGTATCAC